GCCCGTGTCATGTAAACACACACTGACATGTGTAAACTTCAAAATATCTCTGGGCTACACCTCTGACCTGAGTTTAAGCCATTGTAGTGTTGTTTAGAGATCCCAGTTACTCTTTCCCAAAGGCTGGAGACTTTGCTAGTGGGTTTAGAGTTTGTCACATAATTCAGTGTATAAAAGACTCCGGAGCTGAGTAGACCAGATCTGGGATTTTCATGACAGCGGCTAGGGATGTTTAACTCTTTCTGTAAACACACTTATACAACTTTCTGGACTTTTAAGACTTAGTTTTAGTATTTAGTCCTGTGCATGTGTCATGAGGGAGTATGGCTGCGAGTGTCCACCACGGCCAGAAGAGGGCTTTGATCCCCTGGATCTGGAGTCACAGGTGGTTGTGAGGTGCCCAGTGGTGCTGGGAACAGCCTCCTGTCCTCCGCAAAGCGGCCTGAGTTCTTAACGGCTGAGCCACCTCTCCAGTGCCGGTGATGCCGTTTTTAGTGGCACTTATACTAGGAGCCAGCACAGTAGTTGCTGCTACTGGCCGCACACCAAGGACCTCAAGGTGACTGTTCTGCCGTGGGTCAGACGTAGGCCAGCACGACTCCTCCACAGGGTCGGCTGCCTCAGACGCCCGAGGCAGCTGCCTTGCCACTGGACTCTACGAGGTGTTTGCACTGAGCTGAGAACATCCATCCATTCTGTGGATTTCACACTAACAGCCTTCTCCCTGCTGCTGCTGTTTAGGGATTCACTAAAAGTTGCTTTCAGATGTTCGTCTGAAGTGTTTAGCCTGGACAAAGCATGGCACCTCTTTCTGAGTGGAGATGGGGGAGGAGACTAAGAGGAGGGGGTAGGTGAGTAGGAGGAGGGAGGAGAGGAGGGAGGGGGCAGTACCCTCAGTGTGTAAACTAAATGGAAAGAGTTACTTAAGTAAAAATTGTAAGAATGCTGTGCCTGAGGAGGGGCCCGAGGAACAGCTCTGTGGTTAAGAGCACACAGTGCTTTGCACAGGACTCAAGCTCAGCTCCCAGCACCCTCATGGGCAGCTCACAACCACCTGTGACACCAGCTCCAGGGGATCTGCTGCCCCCTGCAGGACTTCTCAGGTATCTGTACTCACCTGCGCATACCCACATGCTCTTGTTCAGACACACACATATGTTAGATCCATAAATAATCACACTTGAACTTTTAAAACACAATCATGCCGGGCGGGCATTGGTGGCGCACGCCTTTAATCCCAGCACTCGGGAGGCAGAGGCAGGCAGATCTCTGTGGGTTCAAGGCCACTCTAGTCCCCAGAGAGAGTTCCAGGGCAGCCTCCAAACCAATACAGAGAAACCCTGTCTCAAAAAAACAAACCAAGCAAACAAACAAATAAAACATTATTTAATTATTAATGTTAGTCTTTACAAAAAAATCTAGATTACTTATTCTAGAAGCTGTGGTGGTGGGTGCTTGTAATCAGCTCTGGGGAGGTAGAGATGGGTAGATCTCTGCTACCAGCCTAGCCTCACCTACCTGGCGAGTTCCAGGCCATTGAGAGACCTTGTTCTGAAGGTTAACACCCACAGCTGACCTCTGGCCTTCTCATGCTTACACATAAATTTACTTGCAAACACATGAACACACACACACACACACACACACACACACACACACGACCTGCGCTATATATTGTAATAGATATCACACATCAGCAGCAATATATGAGTTCATTTCTGCATTGCACAGAAACCAATCTCAAGAGGTGCAGTGACTGAGGCATGGTATAAAACATGGATGCCTGTGGTGATATTTTGTTTATGATCTAATAAATAAAGCTTGCCTGAAGATCAGAGTGCAAAGCTAGTCACACTCATTAGCCATGGAGTCCAGGCAGCGGTGACACACATCTGTAATCCCAGCACTCCAGAGACAGAGGCAGATGGATCTCTGTTAGTTCAAGGCCACCCTTAATCCAGTCTAAAAGATCACACAAAGGTGATCCCAGCACTTGGAGTGATACACCTTTAATCCCAGGAGATGGTGACCGGAAGGGCTATGGCTGGGCAGAGAGGAATATAAGGTGGGGGGAGACAGGAGCTCATGGCAGTCTGAGGCATCTGTCTGAGGCATGCAGTCTGAGGGTTCAGTCTGAGATGCAATCTGAGGACAGCACCCTTTGGTCTGAGCATTGGTAGAGGTAAGAACTCTAGCACCTGCCTTGCTTCTCTGATCTTTCAGCTTTCACCCCAGGAGAGCTGACTCTGGGTTTTTATTAGGAATACCAATTAGAATTCATGCTACCGATGCCATTATTCTTTAACTTAGAAATATAGCTAACAGAAAGTATGCATATTTACCCACAGCAACAGAAAACAGATCCCTCAGTTAAGATAAATAAAAATGACTATAGTCTTTGCAAACCTGCTTTGAATAATTTATAAGTTGCGCCTTCTATTTTACAGTACAATCATTATTCTTACAACAAAAAAAGAATCTGATTTTATATACCATGGCCAACCTTCACATGGAGGAACAAGCTGAGACAGTGATCATGTGTTCCATGGAGCAGGCAGTGGCTGTGTGGCCATGTGTTCTGTGGAGCAGACAGTGTTGTGTGATCGTGTGTTCCACTGAGCAGACAGTGCTGTGTGATCGTATGTTCACATGTGTTCTGTGGAGCAGACAGTGCTGTGTGATCGTATGTTCACATGTGTTCTGTGGAGCAGACAGTGCTGTGTGATCGTATGTTCACATGTGTTCTGTGGAGTAGACAGTGTTGTGTGATTGTACGTTCATGTGTGTTCCGCTGAGCAGACAGTGCTGTGTCCCTCATGTTGTGGAACCACAAATTATTTTTGTTGCTACTCCATAACTGTAATTTTGCTACTGTTATACATCATAATGTATATATCTGTGTTTCCCCACTGTCTTAGGCTACCCATGTGAAAGGGTTGTATAACTCCCAAAGGGGTCGTGACTCACAGGTTTGGAAAAGCTGAAATAAATCATTTAAAAATAATATAATACCTTGAGCAAAAACAAAACGAAACCAAAACCTTGGATTTCTGGTGAAACAGACTCCTTTTGAAGGCTAAAGGGAAAAGAACTTTCCAGAGTGATTGTGAATGTTGCTTTCTGGTGACATTTGCATGTAGGGGACAATCCTCAAAGGGTGTCTCTGGAGGCCAGCTTAGTGTCACTGGCGTTGGTGCAGGCTCAGTGTACTGTGACCGTGGGCTCAGCTGTGGTAGTAACCCTTTCCTCCAGGTCACGGAAGGCTCCAGCCAGCATTCTACTTGAGGACATTGGGAGTTGCTTCTCCTTGAGAGCAAACCTTCTGGACGATATTTTATTTAAAGCTTAGCCAGAGCCCACACAAATCAGCTACACAAAGCACACTGTGGACTCTTTCTCCTGTCTGATTACAGAACCCTTCCAGTCCTCTCTCACCAGGCTGCTGTGGGTCACCAGGAGCAAGGCGTTGTGGCCTCATAGAGTCTCCTTCAATGTGTGAGCGCGCGGGTGTTCACACATCACTAGAGCATGCTGTCTTGGGGCTGGGGAGACAGTTGATAAAGAGATTACTGTGCAAGTATGAAGACCTGAATGCAGTTCCCAACATCTGTACCAAAGCAGGCACAGCAGGGAGTGCCTGGAATTCCAGCATTGAGGAGGTGGGTCCAGGTAGATCCCCAGGGCTAGCCGGCCAGTCAGTCTAGCCAACGCAGTGAGCTCTGTGTCCAGCAAGAGACCCTGACTCAGTGAAGACTACACCAGACATTGACCTCTGACCTTTGCACACACACACACACACACATTTGTGCAAGAACACGTATACACAAGAACGGGTACACACAGCCATGTTTACATTCACTGATACACTCATGAGCACACACACACACACACACACACACACACACACAGGGACATACATTGTCTCTCTTTTCACTTCAATGGCTGCCCTTTAACCTCCTCATTGGCTTCCCCAAAGCCTCGTGAGCCACTGGTCCCTGTCAGTCAGCGCGATTCTTCCCTCTGACCACAGAGTGGCATGGTACCTTTCTTCTCTGCTTTGCTGCTCAGACCCTCCTCAGCCTCCCCGACCTGCACTCTCACTTGGCAGGGAGGGTAGCGAATGGCCCCGAGGACCTGCCTACTTCTGTGTTACCTGGGACCCATTGCAAAGCATTGCACAGTACCTTAATGGCATCTAAAAAGACTTGCCACACCCCTTGGGGAACCAGAGTGAAAGTGACTTGAAGTGACCAATGCACACTTTAAAAAGAAACCCAAGGAACCAATGTCTCTTGAGACAAAAAAAGAAGCTCTTTTGGCCTGAACAATTTCCCTAAATCTCCTCCCAGCTGAGGGCCTATTTATAGTGGCATACCAACAGCATCATCCAGGCTTTCCTTAATCTATCAGGTCAGTGACTTTTCTGGGTTTTTTATTTTTTGAGACAGGATTTCTCTGTGCAGCTTTGGAGCCTGTCCTAAGGAACTCATTCTTGTAGACCAGACTGGTCTCAAACTCACAGAGATTCACCTGCCTCTGCTGGGATTAAAGGCATGCGCCACTACTGCCCAGCTGAGTGTTCTGTTTTTTTTTTTTAAAGATTTTATTTATTACTATGAGCCAGGCGTTGGTGGCGCACGCCTTTAATCCCAGCACTCAGGAGGCAGAGGCAGGCGGATCTCTGTGAGTTCGAGGCCATCCTGGTCTACAAGAGCTAGGTCCAGGACAGGCTCCAAAACAATACAGAGAAACCTTGTCTCGAAAAACCAAAAAAAAAAAAAATATTTTATTTATTACTATGTATACAGTGTTCTGTCTGCATGCCAGTCAGAGGAGGGCACCAGATTTCATTATAGATGGTTGTGAGCCACCATGTGGTTGCTGGGAATTGAACTCAGGACCTTCGGAAGAGCAGTCAGTACTCTTAACCTCTGAGCCATCTCTCCAGTCCCAGAGTTTTCTGGGTTTTAAAAACAATATATTTATTAATTTTTCACTGGGTGTGTATGCGTATGCACCTGAGTGTAGGTGCTTACAGAGGCCAGAAGAGGGCGGCAGATCCTCCTGGAGCTAGAATTACTGGCAGTTGAGAGCCACCTGACTTAGGTCTGGAAACTGAACCTGGGTCTTCTATGAAAACAGCAAGAGATTTCAACTACTGGGCCCTCTCTCTAGTTCCGGGTCAGTGAATTTTCTAGTTCTTCCTTAACCTCAGAGTCTATATGCTGAAGGCTATGGGAGACCCAGGACAGCATACAAAGTTCCTGAAGTCAGCCTTTGAACACTTTCAGGACGTCTTTGAAGTTCAGCGCGTCACCCACATCCGCAGACACTCACTGGGCTGCAGCTCGGCTTCCAGTTACGTGGCAGAAGAAAAGGGCTCCTCCAGGCTGCATTAAACAATTCTACTGATTACTTCTGAGATTCTGAAGCCAACTTCAAAGACCCCGAACTTGAAGAAAGAAGAAATGGAAAACTGTGGATGTCGTCTCCTATTACCACACGGACCCTGAAATGCCTAGCAGTGGGATCATGTATGGGGTTCCTCAAAGCGTGGTGGCCAGGGAGCCCTAAACTGTTCAAAGCCCCGCCCGCTGATCTACTTCTATCAGCCACGCCCCACCCACTAAAGGCTCCACAACCTTCCAAAACAGCGCCACCATCTGGGGGACAACATTCAAAACATGAACTGTGAGGGACACTGAGGGGGGTATCATATGGCACACGTGTGCATGCATGTGCGTGTGCGTGTGTGTGTGTGTGTGTGTGTGTGTGTAAGATGCACATACCCACACATTCATACTCCAATGCCAGAGAAGGTAATCCACCTCATTTCTCTGAGACAAGCCAGCAAGCCCCATGCGTCCTCCTGTCTACCCCTGACATCACGAGGGTTACAGGTGCACCTGCAGCCATGGCTGCTGGAGATTTGAACTCAGATCCTCATGCTTGCTCAGCAAGCTCTGTTTCCCACTGGGCCATCTACCCAGCACAGTGGGGGGCGTTTTTTGATTTACACTGTAGTGAAACTCCAGGGAAGTCTGCTGTCAGCAAACCATTCCCAGGTAGTTGAACTGCAGGAAGCCCCCTCCACGGGCTATCAGACGCAGATTCCCTCCAGTGTGGCTATCAGCACGCTCAGCCCCTATGCTCACTCTGATAGGTGGAAAACCCCACTCCTGTCCCTTCTATGACCTCTGGACAGTTCACTCAGCTGTACTGGAAATCTCCACTTAAGTATTCAACAGCCTGCTGAGAATTAATGTAGTGGAGGCTAAACTCCAACTCTTCTCTTCCAAATATTATCTTATAGCACTGTTCTCCTGCATGCCGGCCTGGCCAGGGACATTGCCATCATTCCTGACATGTCCTTCAAGCTTACACTCCATATTCAGTGGGTTGGTTGCCTTCTTAGGACCTTTCAATTTTCTAGCAGGTTTTGGGTTTAATTTTTATTTCATAAAATTTGCCAACTTTAAATAAAATCTCCAGTCTTTTGGTAATCAAATCTAGTCATATACCCACTAGTCAGTTGTGGGTATTTTTGTTGTATCAGTTAATTAATTAGCTAATTAACGTGTGTGTGTCGCACGCACGCGCACACACGTGTGAGAGGGAGTGCCCATATACCATGGAGCGTGTGCAGAGGTCTGAGGACAACCGAAAGAGTCTGCTCTCTTTCTCCCTGTGGGTCCTGGGGATCAAGCTCTGGCTTGACAGGCACGTGCCTTTGCCCACTCAGCCATCTCAGGCCTTGGTTTGATTTTAGATCATTACATCTGCTAGCTGTGCAAGCTGCTTATTGCACCCCTGCCTGGCCTGGCCGACTTCTCGTGTGCAATATGGGAAGCACCTGCCCCTCAGGTTGCTTTGAATATGCAAAGAGTTTATTAGCTATAAGGTGTATGTGAATCTCTCATGGCATATAAATTTTATGACTGCCATCATCATTACCACTCACCGCACAACAAAGACTTCAACACCTGTCAGATATTATGTGAGGGTGCAGGATAGAATGTATGTGCCCAAAGCAGCTAAGGGTAAAATCTACTCATCATCTGCCCATTGCCGGGTGAGTTTCTCCTTCCTGGTTCACATTCCCGTATCCAGTTACTTGGGAATGCATAGGGTTAGCTACCTGCAGGTTTTAAGAGTGGGGCCTGGGACTGATGCCGAGCACACAGTCTTGTCTTTGCCTGAAGAGTGGCCCTACATGTGGGGGTAAGGTTTCCCCATCAGCAGAGCGAGAATTCACGTCCCAGGTTAACCCTCCTATAGCAGAGGACGTGTAGACCATGGGCCAGTTATTTAAACTCTCTCAACTTTGGTTTCCTGAATTTCTGAATGTGTAAGGCAGCTATGGGCTGTGGTCAGGCTCAGTTGAGAGGTTTGGTTTATTTCATAGCTCATGGTGAAGTAAGAATGTGGACGTGGACATGTCTCCTGATTGCCATTGCTTGGCGTTAGCTACTTTTCTGTTGCTGTGATAAAAGCCACAACTGAATGCTACTCAGGGAAGAAAGAGTTTATCTGGGCTTGTGGTTGCAGAAGGACAGTCAAAGGCAGGGATGGCATGGAGAGGGTTAGGGTTAGGAAGGAGGGAGGGAGGGAGGGTGGGAGAGAGAGAGAGGGAGAGAAAGAGAGAGAAGGAGGAAGGGAGGGAGAGAGGGAGAGAGAGAGAGGGAGGGAGGGAGGGAGAGAGAGAGAGAGGGAGAGGAAGAGAGAGAGAGAGACAGACAGACAGAGAGGAGAGTGCAGAAAGTGTGGCCAGATTATAAACCCTCAGAGCCTATGTATCTCCTCCAGCAAGTCTCCGCCTCCTAAAGGATCCCTATTCTCCCCCACAGAGCCACCCTCTGAGGTCCAAGTGTTCAGATACACAAGCCTATGGGGGACATTCCTCATTCAAACCACTACACTCGCCAACCCACCCACAGATTCTGAATAAGCCCCACCGATTCCCTACAAGGGCAGGCTCTGCAGGACCACCAGCACTGCAACTCAGACGTGCCATCTTGACTTTGGGAGTCTCCGGGGGACTACGAGTTTGTGATATCCAAGGGCTTTCCATACCTTAATCTCCTATTGCCTGGTTGTGTCCCACAGTTTGGGGATGGCGGCCCAATCCTGCAGCTATGCCAGGACATGCAGAGAAACAGATGGCAGGGGCTGGAGAAATGGCCTAGCTATGAGGAACACTGGCTCATCTTTCATAAGATCCTGGTTCAATTCCCAGCACCCACATGGTGTCGTATACCTGTTTATAACTCCAGTTCTAGGGGATATAATGCACTCTTTTGGCTACCTTGGCACTGTGTTCGCACGGTGCACCTAAATACGTGCAGGCAATATATCCATACGCATGTACTAAAGTAAAGACAAAATGAATTTTTAGAAGAAAAGGGCTTCAGCTCAGCAAACCTCTTTTGCCCTGGACTTTGTCTCATTCATCAAGATGACATGGAATTCCTGTTCTCTGCCTTGATGCTGTGACCATGTGGCCCGATAAACACAGCATCAAAGTGTTTGCAGAGTGAACTTTGCTACAAGGCAGTAAGTCACATCACCAAAGCAGCTGTCATCAGCCTAATACTTTTGGACTTGGATGTGTCCAACTTTCAAAAGAATGTATAAACTAATTGTTATTAATTTTATTCTTTTAAAAATTAGAACATGTTTTAAAATAGTTGCCAAAATTGCACCTAATTTAGACTTGTCCTCCTCATCCTGGTTTTCAAGGAGTTTGCTGTGGGCTGAGCTTGTATGATAGAGATTGCACATCACAATGGACTCCTCACAGATTCCTAGGCTTCAGAAAATAGCTGTCTCCAAAAATGGAGAAGGAAGTCCTTGAACACTTCATGGAGGCCAATGGCAGGATTATGGAAAGATATCAACAGGCAGTTCATAACCTTTTTGAAATTTTTCAAGTGTGAGGGTGAACTCCTCCATGCTAATAAAACACAGAAATAGAGACATAACAAAACTCTTTTTTGGCAACAAGAATGATAACACTGGGATATTCTAAAACTTTGCTAGATAAGCAACCCACGATCAAAGGTGAAATAAATCAGAGAAATCGGGGAGCTGATTTATTTAAACATGAGCCTCTACCTCAGGGAAAAATGATGCCTCCAGGAAAAGATGAAGTTCTGAATATGGTTGCCAAGATATCTCTCGAAGAAAGATAGCATCCGCCAGATAAAACCAGGTCCAGGAATGGTCACAGGAGAAGGTTAGTTCCCTGGATGCTTTGTCATAAGTGATCCTTCACGTGTGCATAAGGAAGAGGTCCTTCCTGAGACGATTGGAAGAGCCAACTTCCCTCGGACAAACCATGACAAGTAGCGATCGTCCGAACAGAGACTTTGAGAAGCAATGGCTTACATGGCTATCAGCGCAGTTGAGACAGATGTAGACTGTGTGAGCTGATCGGCCAGGCAGTCTTGAACAAATGCAGAGGCTTAAAGCGTGGCCTCAAATACAGCCTGGGAAAGAGAAGTTATTTATTTATGGATTTAATGAACAATAGGCTTGGCTTGAGTTTCAGTCATCTAGCACTGCATAACAAATTTCCCCCAAACTTAGTGGTTTACTCTCCCCATTCAAGGCTCATGGACACTGCCACAGAGAGGAAGGAAAGGGTGGATGAGCTGGTGGGGGAGGGACTGCGAGATGCGTCTGTTGGACATGATGTGGCTGTTGCCCTCATGAGCTCACAGCAGCTGTGGCTGCCTGAACAAGATGTGGCCACAGACTCAAAGGGGAGAGAAAGCCCAGGACAGCGTTTCCAGGTCACGGGGAAGAGGACTGGGGCAGCCTCTTTGCATACTCTGCCAGTCTCAGAAAGGGATCTGAACAGCACACCAAGCAGGGGGAGAGGGCTTGTACTGACTGTCGGTGTATCAGGCGCTGGCGTCACCTGGGCAACAAACTTCCGGGAGGGTCTGGAAGGGAGTTTCTAGATTGAGTTCACTGAAATAGGAAAACCAATCCTAAATACAGTGGCACCATTCCCTAGGGTGAGACCCTAGGCTGAAACAAGAGGAGAAAGAGACAGCATTCATCTCTTTGCCATATGACTGTGGTGGTAGTATGACCAGATGTTTCACTACCCAACTATTGATGCAGTGTGAGCAGATGTTCACTACCCGACCTTGGATGCAGTGTGAGCAGATGTTTCACTACCCGACCTTGGATGCAGTGTGAGCAGATGTTTCACTACCCGACCTTGGATGCAGTGTGAGCAGATGTTTCACTACCTGGCTACGGATGCAGTGTGAGAAGATGTCTCACTACCCGACCTTGGATGCAGGGTGAGCAGATATTTCACTACCCGACCTTGGATGCAGTGTGAGCAGATGTCTCACTACCCGACCTTGGATGCAGTGTGAGCAGATATTTCACTACCTATGGATGCAGTGTGAGCAGATGTCTCACTACCTGAATATGGATGCCGTGTGACCAGTGGTTCAGGCTCCTTTCACCATGACTTCTCTGCCAGGATGGACTGTACTCTCAAACTGTAAGCCATAAGAAACCCTTCCTTCTTTAAGTTGCTATTTAAGGTCAGTAATTTTGTCACAGTTCTCCAGGAGAGTCATTCCCAAGGGTGAAGGTGACATGGAACGTCTTGTCTCTCTTTTCCTGATACCTTGGAGTTGCTTGTGGTGCTCCCGCCACAATTGAACGATCCACTGAGATCCAGAGAGACTTGGAAAGACTGGGAAAGATTGGCCAGATAGAAGACTCGGAAAGGAGAGACTGGAGAAAGAAAAGAATTAAAAACAGGTACCTAAACTTCTAACAGTAAAATTAATTGGATTAAATCTTCAGGCCTTCGACTGACACCAAGGTCAGGAAAGAAAGGGGAACCTGAGAGATCACCCTAGGTTGGAGGGTGGATTGGGTTAAATCTCCAGGCCTTCGCCTGACACCAAGGTCAGGAAAGTAAGGGGACCCTGAGAGATCACCCTCAGTTGGAGGATGGATTAAAAGTGGGTAAATTGAAAATTGATAACAGTTAATAAAGGAGGTACTGGTATTAAGTAAAAGAAAAGGAAAAGATAAAAGTATATAGAATGGAAAATACACACAGAGTCTGGATACTGTGTACAGTTGTGTTGTCTTTAAATTGTTTAATTGCTGAGAAAGAAACAAAAACTGCTAAAAGACAATTGATTATTAATGTTGCTAAATTAATTCAACTTACATGTTTTGAAAATGCTTTGACTTCTAAATTTAAATATAAGGACAGGTTACTTGGAAAAAGAATTTCTGCTTTTGTTTCCACAGAACATAAAAAGCTGTGGGTTCCTTCCAGACTAGTATGGTTTGATGAAGCAAGACCACCTGAAGCAGTGGCCCAGGTGATCCAACACCTAAAACAGCTGAGATGATACAGCCTTACAGACCACAAAAACAAGAACTTCAGCAGGTTTCTGGGTTTTGTTTTGTTTTTGTTTTTTTGTCCTGATCCCCATGGTATTTCAGCGCCCCTTAACAGCAGGAAGTAGTTTGGAAAGAACGACGCCCACATTCCCAAATATTGTTTATAAATGTTTGTTTGTATCAAGATTGACATTAACGGCCTAGTCACCTGAGATAGGTGCTAATTTATATATAAAGAAGGGGGGAGATGTTGGGCCCCAGCCCCATGGGGTCTCTGTGAGTTGCTGGTCAGCCTACAAGTGCAACTTGTTTTCCAGTCCAAGTGCTTTCTGTTTTCTAGTCCTGGCTTACTGCCCTGGCCTTGACCCTCTGACATCAACATCCAGCAGGAGGAAAACAACGATCTCTTCTACCTGGGGTTTTTTCCACTGTGCTGTAAACTTGTATAAAAAGCTCCTCCCTCCTACAAGGGAGAGACCTCTTAGCACTTGCAATGAAGACACACACACACACATTCTCCTGGCAATAAAGGCAACACATGCATTCTATTAGTACAAACAGCTGGACGTCTTGTCTCTCTTTTCCTGATACCTTGGAGTTGCTTGTGGCGCTGACGTGACAATGGAATACTGTGAAAGCACAGTCAAGTGGGCAACAAATTTCAGTTTGCATTTCAGAAATACAACAACAGGAAATTTATCCTGAAGAGTTCCAGGAAAACTCCCAGGGACTACGAGAAAGGGAGTAGGAAAATTATGTTACTATAAATCAGACTTCCCTGCCCTGAACACCATAACTTTCTGGAAGGTAAAGATATAGGCCAAAACACACCTTTCTGTACATTTGTGTCTCTGATGATTTCAGAAGCCCGGAGTCCCATAAAACAACAGGAAGATGAGTAACCCAATCACAATCGGTCCCAGTTGATTTCCTGGTTCTACCCTTGTTGTAAACGACCTCATCACTGGAGCCTCTGGCTCCTACCAAAGGATATAGAAGTTCTTACCTAAGATATCTTGCAAATGTGATCACCCCAAGGACTTTTTGATGTGTTGGAAGTGCTGCTAGCATAATAAAACAAGATCAGGAATGATGCCTATCCAAGCACATCGCACACTTAGAGAGAGTTGTCCTAAAAGATGGCAGTGGCAGCCAGGCATTGGTGGTGTACATCTTTAATCCCAGCACTCAGGAGGCAGAGGCAGGGGATTCTCTGTGAGTTCGAGACCAGCCTGGTCTACAAGAACTAGTTCTAGGACAGCCTCCAAAGCCATAGAGAAACCCTGTTTCTAAAAACAAACAAACAAACAACATATGGCAGTGACATTCCAGTAGAAACATTAAAACGATAGGGGTGATACAGAGTGCTGGGTGGGGGGTATGAAAGTAGGAAGATTTGAGAAGTCCCATATTCCATCACAGGTAGGAACCGAGGCAGATATAAGATTAAGTTGTGTTATATATGATGCCTACAGAAAACGCATCATATACCTAAGATACACACAGTATCTTAGAAACTAGGCATTTTTCCCAATAAACATAATAGTCCTTTTGAAATATAAAATGGGAAATGAAGAAATGTAATTATGGATAGAAATACTCAGTTTTAAAACTGAGTGTGAGGTAAGTGTGTAGACCATGGGAGGGAAACTGTATCCAGGCCTCTGGAAACTTCTTCCTAAGGAAATTGGCTTATGTGTATGGATGGAAATCGTGATGTCCTGATCCTGCTGTTGTTTCTTCAGTCATGTGCTCCATTTTGATGTGAAGGTCTCTTCCTGGTCATCAGGCATGGAGTTCTATCTTATTCTTCCCCATTTGGAATCAGTTTCCACCACAAGCAAATCAGCTCCTGGCACATCATTTGTCCGTCCCAGCTTGAGGTGATAGTTGAATCCACTTCACCCTAACCTTCCACGGGCAGAACGAGCCAACCCACCAGAGCCTTTCTCCGGCAGCGCCACAGTTAAGAAGTGAACTTGAGTTTTAGATGCCTGGCCGGTTGATCATAAACCTAGCTCTCTTGGTGTCGGTCTCCTTTTGCTGCCCGTTTTTCTCATCCGACACTTCACAGGAAGCAATCCATGCGAAGGTGGTCCCTGCCCATCCCGAGACCTGTCAGTGTCTGCAGAGTGTGCTGTGTGGTCAGCAGATGAGAATCATTTCATAGAAGCCACCAAATGCAAAGGTTGCCTCAACAACTCCCATAAAAGCTCAGATTAGTTTGGTGTGTGTGTGTGAGCAGTTGTGTGTGCATGGTCACGTGTGTGTATGCACGTGTGGGGGCCAGAAGACAACCTCCTGCATGTGTGACAAGCACTTCGCCAACCGAGCCATCTCTCCAGGCCCCGAGTTCAGATTTTTGGAAGCTTTGGAACTATTTCTGCAAATAATATAAAATTTCATATAAACAGAAGCAATAGAACAGGATGCCCCATGTTTGCCTTTACTTTGCTGCATTTTCAGAAAATGTGGACATGAGTGCAGCTACATGGCTGGGAAGAAAGCTGCCGCGGGAGGGAGAGGGTGCCGCTGAAGCAGGGTGAATGTTCCTTACCACAGTGGATTGCCTGTGGCACATCTGGGATACACTTTAGTTCCTCTTCTACCAATCCTTTCTCCGGACTCCTTCCCGCCATGGTCGGCTGATATGTGCTTGGGGAATCAAGCCAGTGCTAACATGTTCTCTTTGATGGTTCACACAGCATCTCAGACCACGCAGAGCCCCAGGGTCATGATTATGAACAACAATGATTGTACTTGAGGGTTACAGATGTGCTGGGTACTAGAGGGTTGCGGTTAATAGAATGTTCAACAACAAAGACTTTATTGTACAGCTCAAGGGAGGAAAATCTCCCAATAGCAAAATTCATACCCTTGGAAAGTCGGCGTCTGGAGTTAAGCACACCAACTTAGGCTTTTCTTTATATATAAAAAAATTCTTTTTGTTCACCAAAATTAAATGGTCAGAGTTTTTTTAAAGTTCCCTGTGGGAAACATTTTGCATCAAAGGAGAAAGAGATCAAATGGAAACGCAACAAACCAGCGACTCCCATATGCAAACTCTTTTTCCACAGTGTGGTTAAGCTGTTAGTGAAATCTGATTAACTCGGGTCACCAGGGGACCATTTAGTGGCTTTGAAACAATTTCATTGTACTGATTTAGGTCTCTGGGATCTCCTGCTATATGTGGAACATCAGATCTGATGGTTTGGTAGCAAATTTAAACGCAGCTGAGGAACTTCCTCAGCCCTTGACTAAGTAAGTGCATTGGGGACACCAAACGGAGAGCTCCAGCTCCTTGGCCTAAAGTTTAGAAACCAGATTCTAAGTTATGCTGTGCTCAGGTGCTCATCAAAACCCCAGAGAATCCCATGCTGATAATGTTAGCTATCCCAAGGCATCTGAGGACCCTGCCCTGTACGTATTATATATTATAGGTTGGAATTGTATTTGAAAGGCTGGCAGGAGGACTTAATGGGTTAAGACACTTGCTGCTAAGCCTGACAGCCTGAGTTCAAATTTTAGGACTCACATGGTAGAAAGAGAGAAATGAGTCCTTCAGATTGTCCACTGACCCCATACATGTGACACAGCACGCACATGCCCCCCCCACACGCAAAGCACACATACCAAACAAATACATACATGTAGTTTAAAACACTTTCCAAAAGAAAATTTGCTTTAAATACATTTTAATTAACACATTAATTATGTTTTTGGTGCAACATATCATTTCAATACATGCATATACTATAAAATGATAAGGTCAGGGTAACTTTAATATATATGTGTGTATATATATATATATATATATATATATGTGTGTGTGTGTGTGTGTGTGTGTGTGTGTGTGTGTATGTGCGTGTGTGTCCATATCACCTGAGACATATTATTCCTTTGTGCTGAGAATATAAAACATCCTCTCTGCTCACTACTGAGGACCCAGACTCAGTGGAGAGGGCTGCATTCCTGACCCAGGCTCAGGAATGTAACCAACTCATCATAAGACAGATCGGCTTCTAATCATTTTGCAGAAGGTTCTAAATTGTATTTCTGGCCACTGGTTGCTGTGTACGTAGTCTGCTTCGCCTCCACATCTGCTCTTTGACCCCTTCTGTCCTTAGCCAACACGGCAAGTGTTAGTATGAACTGATGATTGCATGAATTCCACTGCTGTCACCACCAGCATTCCTGAGATCCTTCTAGAACTGGGCAGGACGACTTGAAGGACATGATCGTCTGCACCTGGAATGCTCCCAGAGTCTCAAGTGCTCAGAGATGAGCTAGCTGTGCAGGTGGCAGCGCCGGTGGATGACTGCAGGGTCTTCTACCAGTGCTTTCTTCCTCTTTGTTAGTGATCATAAGGGATGTCCATCCCTGCCAGCCTTTCCCCCAGCCAGCCCGGCCAGCCCTGCCAGTGCATAGAATGGTCCAGAGGAAATGGGGTAAGTGGATTCATGTTCCTATGGAAAAGTGTGAGTGCGATGCCCTTTCCAAGTGTGTGTGTGTGTGTGTGTGTGTGTGTGTGTGTGTGAGCTCACACACATGTATGCATGGTGTATGTATGTATATGTCCATAACATATGTGGAAAGCCGGGCGTTGGTGGCGCATATCTTTAATCCGAGCTCTTGGGAGGCAGAGGCAGGTGGATCTCTGTGAGTTCAAGGCCAGCCTGGTCTATAAAGCTACACATAGAAACCCGTTCTCAAAATAAAACAAAACCAAACAAAAAAATCCAAAATACCCCACATGTGGGGGCAGATAGACCTCAGGTATCATCCCTCAGGAGCTGATCACCTATTTTTCAGAGTCAGAAGGCCACACTGGGACTTGACTAATTAGGTCCTTATGCTTTCATGACAAGTGCTTTTCTGACTGAACTTAGGCCCTAGCCCCAAATGTCCTTTAAATTTTCTAAATACAACACCATAAAACAGTATATTGTCCTTGTCTTTGGTTCATAAAACTCTGCTCTGAAAGATAAAGCCCATGCCTGGCACGGTTATCAGGACTAAGAACTGTGGCTGGAGTGTAGGGAAACTGCCTCTATTACTCTCCTAAGGGAACATAGTATTAACCGCTTCTATGGATTTACCTTTGTACCCACAGATTAGAGCATTTCTCAGCCTTCGTCAGAGAAGCTTCTTTTTGTCATGGATAGCAATTAACACAAGTAGTCATGATGCAGAGAATAAGCGACTATGGGACATCATCTATACCACACCTGCTGCCTCCCAGGCTCAGGGACCACTACAGGGTGGGAAGAAAGACAGTAAGAGTCAGGCGCAGACGCTTGCTATAAGGAAACTGCTTTGCTGACGCAACAGGGCAGCTGAACACATGAACTCCCAGCCACTGGGAAAGCACGGACAAGGCCTGTCAAGTCATGCCAGACAAAATCCCGGCACGGTGCCCCCATCCATGTGGGCACCAAGTCCCAACCTAGTGAGGAGTTGTAGGTGACAGATACCTGTGGTGACAGACAGCTACCTTTCTTTAAGGGTGCAGTTCCTGGAAGGTCTGATGCACTTCAGGGGATGCCCACACACCTGAGGCGCATAGGCAACAATAACTGGATATGATGGTTTTTGTTTTGTTTTTAATGAGAACACAAAGTTTGGTAGATAGGGAATTGAGGAGAGACCTGGGAGGGGCTTGAGAGTGGGGGTGGACATGCTCAAAATACAATATGTGAAATTCTAAAACTAATGAAATATGTTAAAGCAACAGCACATTACAACAGCAAAGCCATTGTCTCATCTCCTGGGAAGCTCCCAGTATTATATATCTTTCAAGTCTGTTTCTGGCCCAAGAGAAGCAGTATGGGAAACATTGGAGACACATGCAAAGATGAAGGATGGCTTTGACTGCACTTTGAAGTGACCTCCCCCCCTCCATTCACTAGGGCTCATTTGGGTGCTGGGCATTTCCCTGGGATCTGGACTGTGTTTTCATTCCACAGAATCATCGACATTGGTGTCCTAAAGACACTGCAGCTTAACCCAGAGCACACAGGAGTCCCTTTTGGGGCCTCTGGAAAAGAGCTGTGGCTTTGTCCCTCTGGGCAGTCACAGCCAGTCCTAGACATAATGGGTTATATGTCACTGACTATAAACAAGCAGACAATGGAGTTTGTTTTCCGCCCTGAGAATTGGAGCTACACTCCCCGCCAGCGCTGAATGCATTTTCAGCTGTAATAGAAACCAGTGCTAAGCGCCCCGGGGTTTCTCATGCGCTCAGAAGAGCAGAAGGAAACGAAAAGGCCAACCCAAGCTTTAAAAAATGGAGCACCTACTATGTGTATATCGCCTGGCACACATTTTCTCTAGGTGGCAGAATGCTCTGCCTAGCTCACCACGATTCCCTTTAACTTACCTCAACTCTGCCAAACAATATCTGGCGAGAGGCCAGTTGAAGAGGGAAGGGTACCTGTTGGCTGATGGTGCCAGGCTCCAGTCGGTATGTGTCAAGCCCACACCTCCATTGTGATGGAAAAGGCATGGTGAGGGGGCAACCCCAGGCTGCGGCAGCGCAAACATCTGGCTGCTTGCTCACATCTCGGCAGACCAGGAGGACCGCTCCCTGACCGCTGAGCTGGGCCGTTAAGCCCTCAGCCCACTGCTCAGAGCTTCATGTGGCTAAACGGTACTTCCTAAGGATCCACAGCCTCTAGAAACAGCGCCACCAGCTGATGAAACAGTGTTCCAACACATGAGCCTGATTGGGACATTTCATAGTTGAACGGTAACACTTCCATTTCAAGACCAGTAAACCAAAGAAGGCGCATGAGCAGAGCCACCCCGGGAAGGAGGCCTGACGCTGGGACGTCCCATGCGCATCCCTCTGGCTCCAAAGCCTAAGAAGCATCAGTTACTGCACTGTGCATCCACACAGGCTAATTTTCTTCTTGGGTAGTCATTAGAGGGATGGGAGGTAGCCTTCACCCCACTCATCTTTTACTCTCCAGGGTAATTCCATCTGAACTGCCCCAAGATTAAGCCATTTCTGTGACTATGAGCATTTCTCATTACTGAGTTCCTTCTTGTGTCTGACTCCATTGTTTCTTGCTTTGATGTCCTCTCTCTTCCTAGGCACTTTGCAGTTTTACATAAAATGCATCACAGACCTTATAGGTTATGAGTTTTATACCTCATTATCCCTCCATGGAAACTGAGAGAGAGGAGTCCTCATTGGTCCTGACTAATGAGAAGCTAGGAATAGAACATCTCACCTGTTGGGTGTTAGTGTAGGTTTTTTATTTGTTTGTGCCTTTCTGACTTTTTTTGCAGACAGGGTCTCATGTCACATAGACCAGCCTTGACCTTGCTATATAGCGAAGGATAACTTTGAATTTATAACCCTCTTACCTCTGTCTTCAAGTTTTAGTTTTTTTTCTGGATTCTCTTAACTAAAATCCAACTTGAACTGAATCTTCAGTATTCAAAAATCCCCCCCAACATCCTACTCCATCCATGTCCAAATCCTCACAATTTTAAAATTAAAAACAGGTAAAGAAGCAGACATTGTAAAAGAGAGGATTTGAACTGAAAATACAAACAACACGGTGTGGGTGTTGACTTAACGTCCACAATCCCAGCCTTTGGGAGGCCTAGGCAGGAGGCTTTCTAAGAGTCTGAGGTCAGCCTGAGCCACATAGTAAGTTCTAGCCTGAACTATAAGACGCCTCAAAAAAGAAGATCTCCACAAAATAACCAACCACTTCATCAATTTTTTTTTTTTTGCTAAACAACAAAAAAAGCATTTGAGTCCAGGAGAGCTGCAGAGATCTTTTCTCCGCATGGCACCTCACTTACTATTAGCCACAGCTGGCTGGGCCTGTGTGCAAGCAGTTGGATCCTCCTCTGCACATGAAAGAACACATCAGAGCCTCTCTTCATCTTGTCCAGCTAATCTGGGAATAAGAGCAGTCCCCAGGGAGGCTGTCCACTGAGGACAGGGATCAGAGGGAGAGCTAGGTGGTGTGGTGGGTGGCTGGTCACAAAATGCAGAGGCTATGAAGGCTCTGTAAGGATGCGAAGGCAATCATTGCATGTCCCAGGCTCAGCACTGAGGGAGTCACAGAGGATGCCAGGGCACCAGGAAAATGCGAGAGTCAGTGAACTTCCCCATGTTGGCAGCTTTTTCTTTACCTGCAATAGGAAGGGCATGGAAACCCTTGGGGGCTGGATCCTCCTGCTCTGGGGCATATCTCAGAGCTGCCACATCCTGGGGGTTCAGTCTTACCTGATGAAGGTGCACTTGGCTTGATTTATGCATCCTGTTTGGACTGCTCTGACCACCATTAAGTGTCTTATTTAGTATTCCACTTAGGGTGTGGTGGTGTGAATAGGACCAACCCTCACAGACTCATGCATTTGGTTGCTTGGCCCATAGGGAGTGGCACTATTAGGAGGAGTGGCTTTGTTGGAGGAAGTGTGCCACTATGGAATCAGGCTTAGAGGTCTTATATGCTCAAGCTACACCCAGTGTGGCACACAGTCTCCTTCTGTTGTCTGTGGGTCAAGATATAGAACTCTCAGCTCCTTCTCCAGCACCATGCCTGGATCAGACTGACCCGAGTCCATGAATTTAAGAGATCGTCTTGATTGATTACCGACACTGGAGGGCACAGCCTACTATGGGCGGCACCATCCTTAGGCATGTGGCTCTGTATGAGAAAGCTGGATGAGTGGGTGAGGCAGCACACAAGCCCATACGCAATGTTGCTCCGTGGTTCCTGCTTGCAAGATCCTGTTTTGCGTTTCTGGCCTGAATTCCTTCAATAATGGATTTTGACCTGAATGTGTAAGCCATGTGAACCCTTTCTTCAGCCAAGTTGCTTTTGGCTATGGTTTTTAATCACAGCCACAGAATTAAACGAGGAGCAGTTAATGAAGATGAGCATGAGCAAAGACAGAGCATAGGCACATTTTAGGAAGACCTGCTCATCCCGAGAAGTAATGCAAATAATGGCTCAAAGACAAACAGATGGCGACTTCCCCCATGAGTCCTCCAGGTGTTTACTATCTCTGTAACTTTGGCTTTTATGTGCAGAGTTCTTTAAAAAGTTAGGGGCAAGATAAAAAGAAATAAGCAGGGACACAATGGAAGGAACCCATTGGTGAGCACCTTCCAGTTCTTCCTCAAATTACACAGCAGGAGTGTAATCTCTGGAGATCCTTGGCGCCTGTTCCCACTTTGCAAGTGCCATATATAGATGCTGTGAGTACAAGGAGGGGACCCCTAACTGTGGCTTGACTGGAGTGAGTTTCTTAGCATGACACCAAGGCAAGTCTGCTATAGCTGGCTCTCAATTTTACACATGAAAACACCAAGTCACAGGGCTAGTGAGATGGGTCAGGGGATAAAGGGCTTGTCATGAAAGCGTGAAGACTAGAGTTTGATCCCCAACGTGCACACAAACTATACAGGCTGTAGTGCAATATAGCCTGTAATACCAGCACTCTGGAGGAGCAGCAGACACTTTGGCAAGCTGGCAAGCTAGACCAGCAGAATTAGAAAACTCTGTTTCAGTGAGAGAGCCTACTTCCACAGATTAAATGGAAAATTGGTTGAGGAAGACACCCAGTGTCAACATCTGGCCTCCACACATGTCCATACACTCACACGCATGTGAGCACACAGACAAAAAACAAACAAAAACGCATGAAATCCGAAGTGAACTTTGACACTGCCCTGAATCCCAATGGTAAGGCCAGAATCACTGACGGTTGTTTATTTCTGACTGTGCAATCTGCCCCACTCAAAGCCTGGAAGCTGACATGGGCTTTTGGCATGTTAGAGGAGGTATCTGACCCTGATCCCCATGGTCCCTTTTGGCCCTTCCCACCCCCCTCACCAGAGCCCATATGTTGACAGGGCAAAGTCCAGGCTAATCTGCACACCAAGTCTATCCATTTGGACCCATGCCTGAGCCCTGTGATAGGGGCACCACACAGACGGTAATTTCCCTGGAAACCCTGCCTCTGCAGAAGGCTCCAGGCTCCAGAAGTCTATCCAAAGCAATGAATTTTTTCAGTATTTCAAAAGAGCTCTTTAAAAAGACTGCCTCTTTTGTAATAAGACTGTACATGTTCAAAGAACATAGACAGTTATTATTTCGTTATTCAGAATTATTAATTCAGTATTTCATGGGGCTATTAAACCCAGCTCGAAGTGCTGATTGGTTGTTTCTAACAATTAGGACTTGCTGGGACTTTTACAGCGTTGGATTGACCAACTGGGCCACTGTTAAGTTTTCCTCCTGTCTCACAGTTTGTATCTTCTCTAGTCCTTTTCTGTTCACTTAGATCCCCTATGGACGCCAATCCATCTTCACTCTTAAGTAGGCTTGGGTCCCAGTTTCCCACTCTGCATGGGGGATCCCCTGGGTAAGAAATTCCAAGTCTCTTTGCTTGCCTTCTTCTAAACCCATACGTGCAAAGGCAGAGAACTGGAGACCTATTGGCCAGAGACCCTGGGTGCAGGTCTTGTGTAGAATGAGGGGACAAGTTGTAGGGACAATGAGGAGCCCTCTTGCCCAGATGGCTTTCATCCACAATTGATCAGTCTACCATAGGTGCAGAGTGACAGACAAGCCACCAAAGGAATACCAAAGGAACACTCATGGTGAGAGTGGGAGTCACTGTCTTGGCATGCAGAGCTCCACCCACTGCTCTAGGGTCAGGAATTTTGCCTCTCAGGAGATGGGTCGTTCATCCCTAGGACCTGGAAAACCACTGCTGCCTGCTGCAGGTTTGAGGGTGATGAGGGATCCCAAGCAAAGATTAGAATCTGCCAACTCAGAAAAAAGTCTTTGTAGACTTTTATAGACGAAGGGAACAAATCACCAAAGACAGACCCGAGGAATGTAGTTTCTGTGCATGGCCAATGCAAGGCTCTTACTTTGAATCCAGCAGAGAAAGGGTTCCCTGCTTCTAAGGGGGCTGCTGCATTGGAATGGTCACAGCGCAGGACAAAGAGCTGGACTTTTCATGGTCAGCTTGGGGGACAAGCACAAGGTGGACAGGACTCTGTCTCTCTGTATGGCTCTGATGTGGCTTCACTGTGTGTTTGATGGTGCTTACCCTGCCTTCACAAACGTGTGCCTCACTGAACAACTGATGACAATTCTACAAAGGGTTAAGTGCGGTACAAACACGAATTCAGTCTGTGTTTATTTTTTGCCCAGATTTTTCCAACATGTATTCATTTTCCTTACCTTCAGAGGGAACCTGAAAAACACGTAGAACTAAGGATTACGAAGTCTGGAACACAACTCCTGCACCGGGGCTCAGAATTCATTATGGAGAAGAAGCAGAAAGATTGTAAGACGCAGAGGATCGGGGTGTTTGCCATGAGATTGTGTCTCCTAGTGATGTCAGAAACCCCACCCATAAAATCTCACCAACACTACTGCCTAACCATGAG